ACAGTTAGCAGAACTCCAAATAATTCCTGCAACCACCAAAAAATATCTTCAACACCTTTGATGGCTGCTTCCAAGTCTGGACCAAAATCTAGTGCAGGTTCACCACACCCTTGATATGGATGTGTCTTGCCAACCCTGTTGGCTTCAAATTTAGAGTTCTGTTAAGAGCAAGAAGAACATGAAATGAAGCACATTCTGATCAATGGGACCATGATGTTCAGGAAATGGGGGCAACGTCCTTTTGAAAGATAGCAGCATCCCTTGAAATATCTTATGACCTTATCTAGGTCTTTGCCAGCCCTCGATCTATCAAATGCCCTATTTGCTTTTAAAGTGCTCATATAAATTGGTAATTTCTTCTACATTGCTTCTGATCTTCTCCCGCCTCTGTGATTTCTCCCCTCCTCCATTTATCAGCTTTCATTAAGCTGTATCTAAATTTAAGTCCTAATCCTGAAAGGGGGACATTTTCACTTCAGAGGCATAAAAGTTGTCCTAGTATGCATAGTTGAGGCTTTAGATTGCAATCACTTCAAGGGCAGAGACCTCTCTTTTCAACTCAAAGCCAAACTATACAATAAGTTCACAGGAGTCAGTTCTATTTCAGAGATGAGGATCAAGAGAGAGGATCAGAAGGCAAATGGCTAAATTTGGAGAGGTAATGGCACAGTAGTAGAAATATCTACTCAGAGGTAGCAGCTATTGAATTCAGTGGGACTTGATCCCCAGTAAGTGGTTATATCAGAGGTGGGCAAAGCCAGCTCCTCCAGATGTTGCTGAATGACAACTCCCATCAGCCCTAGGCAGAATAGCCAGTAGTGGAGGATGCTGGGAGTTGTAGTCCAATAACATCTGGAGAACTATACTTTGCACACACCTGGGTTACAGTTTTAAAATTTGTAATTGATGCTAGAGAAAGGCAGTAAAAAATTAATTGGAAGGTAAAAATTCCTTCTAGAGTTAAGAATAATTGCTGGATCAAAACTAGAGGAGCATTCCAGAGCTGGGAAAAATTATTTTGAGGAATTACTACTCCCAGGATCCCAAAGTGAACAACAGGCAAGAGACCCTACAGTCGGCCCAGATTCATGCCTTAATCTACACCTTTTAGTTCTTTCTCACTGTTTGGTTACCAGAGCACTTCAGTTTGTGATAGCTGTGGTATAAAAATTCATCTTAGATAAGCAATCAAGGAGCAACTTCCAAAAAATTACATTGGCAAGAGGAAGAGTTTACTGAAATGAATGACTGTGACCATGTAAACAAAATCCTATCCATTACAACATAATGAATAACCAATACTGCAGTCATGATACCATGAAAGAAGAGCACAGCTGCATCTGCATTGCCCATCAAATCCAGAGAACCAGACGTATGTCTGCACTGTAGAAATAATGCACCACTTTGCTGTAACTTCATTGTATTGAATCTTGGATTTGTAGTTTTACCAGGTCTTTCACTTTCTCTGTCAACAGGTGCTGGGCCCCCCAAAAACTACAAATCTCAGGATTCTGTAGGATGCAGCCATGACAGCTAAAGTGCTGTCAAACTGAATTATTTCTACAGTGCAGATGCACCCTACGACAATTCTAAGCAGTGTTTGGTAACGTTCCTTTTCTGGATAGCAACTCCTAGGATCCTCCTGGAATCGGATCAAATGCCATGTCAGCTGGAGGATTATGCAATTGATAAAAGGAGGATCTCAAAGACAGGCTGGCCTGTCCATTAGGTGGAATCAGGCAGCCATTTCAGCCAGCAGATGGTAAGAAATGGAAGTATGTCATTGGAGGAGAGAGCTGTGTGCATTGTAGGCAGCCTCTTGCCTCATAAAATTGCTTAGTCCCTTCAAGTATGATGGAGGACATTCTCCCATCTACAGAATTAAAGAAAAATTCAATGGCCATTCCAGTTGGGCTTTGCCAATGGAACGGGACAAGATGTCACCAAGCAGCAAAATATCTCAGGGCTTCACTTAGATGTACCTTACAGACTCCATCATATTCCTTCCACCTCCCTCCAAAAAGTTACTCAGTCTTGCCTTTCTTTTCCTATTTTTTTCCTTTTCCTCAATCTGGTAACCTGGATTTATTTTACTTATTTATTTTAACATGCCTGTGCAATATCATTATGTTGCATTCAAGCATGATGAGTTAACCAGGAGACCCTTGGGCTAGATGTTCCCAAAATAGTTTCCAAGAGGCATTCCAAACAAAGATGTCTATGCACTAGGAGTAGTGTAATAAACATGTTTGCAAACGACTTAACTTACTAAATGTGATATATATATATATATATATATATATATATATATATATATATATATAAAACCTCTTCCCCAGCTATACTCATCCTTTTTGCCTTCTTTATGTCTTTTAAAGTCATCTCCCCTTTTATTGCATGAAAACCTAGCCAGCAATTTTGATGGCGGAAAAGATGAATTGGAGGGAGGGAGAGAAAGGATCTGGACTGGGGGCTGGGGAGGCCCTTGAAATGGACTCTGGCACTTCTTAGCTTCTCTTTCCATAGACTGGAGTACATCTAGGGAAGAGTGTTAAGGGTCTTGAGTTGAATAGGCCCTGGGAGACCAGGAGTATGGATTTACTTTTCCTTAAATCCTCTAAGTCTTCACACCATTTGGTCTTGGCTTGATCCAATCGGGAGGTGTAAACACGGGTGACAATAAAAGTAGCCATCTGGCAAAGTGGCTCCCGGCTTTGGCAAACAATGACAAGAGGGAGTGAAAAGACCTGTCACGATTTCCACAAACATGTGAACTCTTTTTGATGGGGAGGGAAAGGAGAAAGAACAAAAAAAGGGGGGAAGAAAGAGAGAGAAAGAGAGAGACTTTAAGCTACTTCCTAAGCCAGTGGAGTAAACAAACATGCAACTGAACCTGGAATGGTCCAATTCCGCTCATCTGCAATAAAAATTGGACCTAGTTTTGTTTTTTCAACACTTTGCTTGTTCTTCTTTTTATTTGTTGCCCCCATTGTGTCTTTCAGAACTATATGCAGAGGTCAGGAGGAAAGAAAAGAGAAGAAGGGGGAGGGAAGAAGGAGAAGAAGAAGAAGAAGAAGGGGGAAAAAACCCACAACAACTAAGAACTAACTAGACTTTTTTGCATGGTGCTTTACTGTCAGGGTGATGTACTGGAAGTCTTTATTGAACTCGGTTTGGGCCTCTCCATAGCTCATTCTCCTTGGAAGTATTTCTCAGGCTTTTCATATCACCTGCTGAGGCCCTTGATGGCAGAGAGAGGAGAAGAGCAGCAGGGGACAATTAGAGAAGACTTCAGACTTTGATCATTTGACCATATGTGAATACAACAGCTGACCACATGTTTGCAAAGACAACTAACTTAAAAGTGTGGGCTGGGAAGGGAATGGGGATCTGGCTGGGAGAGAGAGGGAGGGAATCACAAAAGCAAAAAAAAGAGAAACGCATAGATATTTAAATTTACATTTTAATTATCTGGCCCCTGAATGCAGCATTCAGCTTTTCAAAAGAAAAATATTGCACTTGTACGCCTGCAAAAACTATTCCGTGCTTTCAGAAACATATACGTTTCCCAGAGATAAATCTCACTCTTGTTGAATTTTTTTGTTCCCTGTCTCTCCCAAACTTTTTTGTTTTTCTCTTTAGAGAGAGAGAGAGAGAGAGAATTCGATCCAGAGGGTTAGGATATATTTCAAGAATATGCCCTTTTGAATTCTGTTTTTATTTTTGCTACATCAGCATTAGTTCAATGCAACCCTTTAGGTTTTTCTTTGGTCCTCAGCACACTTCCCCCCCCCCCCCATGCACAGAGATATGTTTAAAGTACAGCTGAAAGAGTTCAGGAATTACAATAAAATGTTGAGAAAAAGAAAGCTCATGTGGCCGTAACGTTTGGATTTTTGTAAACCTCAGTGAATATGTCACGTTTTTCCAAAAAAAAAAAAATTGTGAAGTTTGCAATTTTTAAGATGGATGCACCCGGTCCTATTTCTGTTGCACCTAAATGCAATGAAGATTTGTTACGTATATTTTTTAATTAACTTGTGGCATAACTTTACCAATGTGAGCTCTTTCAACCTGACCTCTTTATCAGCAGTGGCAAAATCTGGAAGGAATTTCAAAATAAAAAGCACTATTCCTGCCTGTATAATATACAATACATTTTAGACAATGGCTTATTTCTCCTGTTTGTGAAACTACCACATCATACTTATCTGCACCACTTACCAGGCAATTAACATATTCATGAAACGTCTATTTATTCTCAAATAGGAGGATAATAGAAAAATAACACTAATTGTTTTGACAGCAGTGTGCTTAAGAGTTATCTGAGAGGCAGTAAATGTTTCTTTTGAAAGGGGAGGGATGTTCTCTCTTTCTGGGGAGAGTTTATCCCAGAATTAAGCACATTGGGAAAAATACAACTAGAGAGCAAATAGAAAGAGGGGTTTTAAGAGATGGAATTAAAATGTCAAATTAAATTTGATTTTTATGAGTTGTCTTCATGTTTTAATTACAAAGATCCCAACGGGGTTCAGACAGGATCTTCCAACCTTAGGTTTCAGATACCCATGGTTGTGTTTAACTGTCTCTATAATCATATTACATCTAATACATATGCCAGAAAAGTGTGCAAGCTTTCATGTTCTACAAATGTTTTCATCAGTCTGCCACTTAATTTGATGGAAGAGTTTTGGAAAATTCAGACATTTGCATAGTTTCTGGGGTGTTTGTATTGGCCAGTACTTAATGTTGTTGGTGTTGGGGGGTTTATGTTGTTTTTGTATGTCTTGAACTCCAATTCCCATTCTCCTCAGGCAGGCTGACCAATGTGGCATGTGTATTTTGTTGTTGCATTTATGTGCCTTCAGGTCTTTTCCAACTTATGGCAACTCTAAGGTGAAACTATTACTGGGTTTTCTTGGCAAGATTTGTTCAGAGGAGGTTTGCCGTTGCCTTCCCCTGAGGCTGTGAGAGTGTGACTTGCCCAAAGTGGGTTTCATGGTCAAGCTGGGAATCTAACCCTGGTCACCAGAGTCGCAGTCCAACATTCAAACCACTACACCCCACTGACTCTCAGAATTCCTCAACAAGAGTGGAGATACAAAAACTGATAGTGATATTGTTCAAACGTATTTGTTCATTTGGGGTTACAAATTTCAGCATTCTCAAACTTGAAATCAACCTGAAAGTTCAGAAATATCACCTGATACAGCAGGGAAGAGGGAAGGAGGTGGTCCTCCGGACATTGCTGGACTTGAACTCCCATCATTCCTCACCATTGGCGATGCTACCTGGGGCTGATGGGAATTGCAGTCCACCAACATTTGGAGAGCTGCATGATTTTTACCCTTCTCATATTGGTAACATTGTAATCTTTGCACAAATTAGAGGCCTATAGTATCACCAAAAAAAGGTATCCAGTATCTTACTGGGATCCTGTTTTCAACCATGGGCAGCCAAATACCACTGGAAAACCAAGGAACAGCCATCTCTTGTTGCCACCAGTTTTATAGGTGTTGATGAATGGTAGACAGAGAGGATGTGATTTGATCTATGACATTAATGGTTCCAAGTTGTAAAAGGTTATAGAACCTGGACTCTGAGAACCATTCAGTTGTCTCACTTTGGATCTTTCCAGGTGGACCTATTTCTCCAGAAATAAACTTATTTTCCTACACCTTGCCATATTGCTTCTGCTAACTTGGACCATCTCTGATGGGCAATGAATCTCACTCTTGTGACACTCCCATTGTTTCCTCCTAGCAACTCTCTCTGAATATGACAGGTTTGTAGAAGTACCATAGTCCTCCATTATTTTGTCTGATCCCTTTTCATTCATATTTAGCAGATGTACATACACAACAGTGGTGGCTGTTGAGTCCAATGTACAGGGTATTCTGCATTTTCACTGTTTTGGTCCTTCTGTGATAGACTATTTGTGTGCAATTGGAAGGAAGCATTTGTTAAGGTTGTAGACAATTTGTTGGCGTATTTTACACATTACAAGGCTATCGGCTACTTGTCTTTTTTGCGGTTTTCTTTGGACTTATTATTTTCTTAAATTGTGTCATGCTTTCTTTTGTAGTGCATGAAGAAAGAGCATTTGCATCCAAAATACAACTGCTGTCTATAAGAATTATTTATTTTGACTGGCGTCAGGCTCAACATTTGCAGTGGTGTAAGCCAGGCTTACAATGTTATAATTATTAGAATTCATGTTTGCGGTCATTGCAGCATTGCAAAGACAGAAAGTCACCACCAAAAACGTACCTTTGAAGCCATGCAGCCCTCTCAACAGAAGGATTTCTAAGATGCTGGAAAGTGGGCACTGAGGAATGACACATCCAGCCCTCTCCCTGCAGTGAGGCATAATGCGACAAGCAACATCACAGCATCAATGGGCCTTTGTTATATTAAGCACCAAATTTGTGGTGCCTTTCTTTTGTATCCAAGCCATTTAGTTTCATGCTGTACACACTGGGCATCTGCTCATACAAGACTGAGGTCCAGAGGCCCTTCCACATTACGCAGTTATAGCAGTATGATTCCACTTTAACTGCCATGAGAGTATCCTATGGAATCATAAGATTTGTAGTTTAGTGAGACACAAAAGGTCTCTGGTTGAGAATTCTAAACATCCCTTCCTAAACTTCATTCCATTACTTGACTGCTTATAACCACTTCCTGATGGCTATAAGACATATAAAAACTAGCCAGAGAAATCTGAAGGGATCCAGTTGGCTCCCTGGCAAGCCTTCAGAACAGTGGCACCTGATAGTTCCAATGTTGGTGACATGATGAGTCCAGATTTTGGTTCTTAGCTTAAAGAAGCTATCCAAGGTACTGAAGTCCTTTTCCAAAATAGGTTCTCCATGTTGGATAGCTCCTATAAACCCTGGAGAGGAATCACTGTCCTATTGACAAGGAAGCCACCAGCCACCACATCCGATGGAAAGGGAGTTGATAGATTGGCATGAGAAATTCTTAACACCACCTTTAACTGCATCAAGTCAGGTTAAAATGATGCTGTCATTGCTCCAGTTGCAGAATATACATTGGTCAGAATCCTTTGGGTTATTCCAAACTAGAGTACACCTATGAGCTAGCATTCTGTTGGTGACATACAAAGGTATAGTCCATCTTATGCCTATGTATGCCTTTTTTGGTGGGGGAAAGGTAAATGCAAAGGTGATATTCATTTGCATCCCAATGGCCATCCCATGGCTGCTGGAAAGTGAGAGGGATTGGACAAGCATCAAGCTATGTCTCCATAGTCAGACACAGAATAGCAATAGCAAGTGCAAGTGCATTTCTATACTGCTTATCAGTGCACTTAAGGACTCCCTAAGCAATTTACAATGTCTAAGCTAATTGCCCCCAACAAGCTGGGTACTCATTTTACCAAACTCAGAAGGATGCCAGGCTGAGTTAACCTTGAGCCCCTAGCTGGTATTGAACTCACAACCTTGTGGGTTGTGAGTGAGTGGCTGCAGTACAGGCATTTAACCTCTGCACCACCAGGGCTCCTTTTGATGGATTGCATCATCCATTGATACCTCGAGGATCCTGGCAGATCTCACTGGTTAATGTAATCCTTCTGTGTCTGGCTACTGGGACATAGTCAGATGCTTCTCTTGTTCTCTATCAGCCATAGTGTGGAAGGAATGCACTGGCTCAACAATGAGTCCAGGAGGTGCTGAGAGAAGATATGTACCATAGTTCCACATGTGGAATTGTTACACTATGCTGTGGAACTATTATGTTGTGATATGCCCTACAGAAAGGACTTAAATATTCTAAAGGCACCATATCCTGTCTGATCTCGGAAGCGAAGCAAGGTTAGTACTTGGATGGGAGATTGACAACAAACACCAGGGTGGCTATATCTCAGAGGAAAGAACTGGCAAATCCAGTCTAAGTATTCTGAGTTGACCAGCAACTTGATGGCACACACACACACACACACCCTACAGAATCTCAGCCACTGAATGAATTGTTACATGATAAGTCAACACATAGGTAAATCACAATGGTTCGATGGGCCTACTCTAGTTAAAAGCAATGCAAGGATTTAGGCCATCGTCTCTGTGCACAGTCTTGGTGTGATCATAAGGAAAAGATGCTCTGGAACAATTTGCTTGGCTGTGAGCAATGATGTCCCTTCCTTCCTTCCTTCCTTCCTTCCTTCCTTCCTTCCTTCCTTCCTTCCTTCCTTCCTCCCTTCTTTCCTTCTTTTTCCAAAGTAGCACCTCTTCATCAGTTTGGGAATTCACTTTATTTCTCTTTCTAAGCCAGACAGCATAAACTGTCTCTCTTCGAAAGATCTTTACTGCCACATCCATAGTTACTGAGGAGGAAAAAAGAGGGACACCTGGGAGAGAGGCAGTCCAGTAAAAGATTCACAGAAGAGTGAGCACGGAGTAGGAAAGAACGGGCTCATCCTTGGAGAATGCAGACACTCTTTCTGCCTGGCAAGTCCTGGGAAACTTACAGATTTCAAAGCAAGGCAGAGCATTTCCCGATAACTTTCTCAAAAATGGGGGTTAGGGGGAGAGAGAAAAAGAAAGATGGAAATGAGCATATATAACTGTAACACTATAGCTAGCAAATATGTAATAGTTAGGTGACACAACCACATCTTGGCATTCCAAATATTTCATGCTTTGAATTGCACACTTGTGAACCACACACACACATATGCACACACATAGTGGGCCAGGTTGGGGTAGGGGTGGGAAAAAGAGGCCAGATCCTAGATGACTGCTACACAATAAAATCAATTGACTGTTCGTAATTGGGAGGCCAAAGGTTAAGGAACTGTCCACTCCAGGTTTACTCCAAGAAGACCTTGATTGATAGGGACTAAAGGCATCTATGCAGCTCCATGTGGGATGCAGGAGACAGCATGTGAAGCAGAAAGCAAGAGACCCTGAGCACTAATCGGAATAATGCCTCCAGTCCTCATTTTTTTCAGAAAAAGAGGGGGGAAATATGGATATTGAATGGCATTTGCTTTTAAGAGCTTAGATGGAGATAACTGAGGGTATGGGATGTGGCCCATGAAGGTTCCTGTTGGTTTTAGAGGCTCCATGGGTTTCTTTATGCTTTTAGTTGCCTGGCTTTCTCCTTTGGAAATACCCATAGAGGGGCATAACTCAGGGGTAGGCAACCTTTCCCCTTTAAGGGCTGAAGGACTTCAGCTCCCAGAATCCCAGGAGCTATTGGCCAACATGGGACTACTGGCCAACATGGCTGAGGCTTCTGGGAGCTGAAGTCCCTCGGCCCTTAAAGAGGAAAGGTTGCCTACCCCTGGGCATAACTCAACATGTTCTTAGATCTTTCTCCTCTTTCTCTTCTTTTTTTGCATGCCATGTTCAAGGTTCTCAAGAAGGTGGTGGCTGGGCAGCTGAAGCAATACTTGAGGAAGCACAGCAGGGTTTTTCAGCCTTTGATTCTCTAACTTCAGCTCCCAGAAGCCTCTACCAGCATGGCCAATGATGAGGCATTCTGGGAGCTGAAATCCAAAAAGTCTGGAGGAACCAAAGTTGAGAACCCTGAAGTAGAGCATCTTGCCCCATCTTAACTTGGTCTTGAGTTTGGTCTTGGTTGCCATGATAGACACCCGCTGTTGGCAGAAATATATCCCCTCCAGGCTTACTTAGAGAAGACTATTGTACCATATATTCTGATTGACAACAGCTTTTAAAAGTCTCAAGCAATCTTGTTCTCTGAGATGGTTTAAAATAGAATTTGTACCTAATATTCCTTACAATCAAGGCAAGCACTTAACTATTAGAACTAAGTGCATTCCCACCTCTTTTGCTTCTAGGAAGTTGAGGGATACCACTGAAAAGGGCAAATTTGGCCCAGAAGCTTCTGGCTGCTGATCCCACTCATAAGATGATGAAAATGTTAACTTTGTGCCCTGCACATGCTGTAGGAAGGAGACCCATTCCATTTAATTCAAGCTAAAAACACACAAATTGGCAATTCACCAACATGCTGTTCTGTTTTACCGAGGGCTTGATATTTACTGAGGTTTCCCTATTTTGTTTATGATTTCTTTTTGTG